TGACAAGGCACCTTTATGTACATATTTCATTCCTTTACTATGCAATTCCCTTAAAGCCTAAAATCCAAGATAATTAGTTCATCTAACCACTGTCATTCGTGATTTTTCTGTAATTTTTACAGAGGTATTGGTTTAATGTCTAGGTCTTTTCCATGTTTACCACAAACATTATAAAGGATGAATACACTGTGGTTTAGGACTGAAATATGTGAAAGCCTGTGGTCTAAATTGCCATTCACACTTCCCACAGATTGTTCCCGTATGTCCCTTAAATAAAAGTAACAATGTCCTGCTAATCTGTTATCTTGTATATCAGTGTTGTTTGTTGTTAAATAATTTGTAACACAGGGACCACATGAATGAGCTAAGGAAAAGGACTTGGGGCCTATCTAGTTTAGAAACAAGGACAGCTGTTTTTTTTATTTCTTCACTCTTGGCTTGGAAAAGCTGAAACTTTACAGGGCTATTTTGTGCACTGTTTTTACTGGACTGCAACTTTATTACTACTCATAATAAGGTATCATAGTTGACATAGTTGATCTACGTTATGTAGATGACTGTTAAAATCTTATATACAGTTGTGGAAAGTACTTACTTTTATAACCTGTTTACAAATAACTGTTTAAATATGAACTGATAGCATGGCCTTTCTAACACTAATCCTAAAATAAATCCTATATAAAAGACAAAGATACCTAGGGTCAGATCTGGAAATCAATGGAAAATAATATAAATATAAACCATCTGATGATCCAACCAATAGAGTGTAGTTCTTATCAGAACTGTTTTCTATAGGCCCAAAGATGAGCAGGTAAGATGTAATGATGGTTTCCATGACATCTCAACTATAACTTTAACTAGCGTATGCAAGTCTCAGAAAACAGAAATAAGTTACATTTTGGAGCAAATCACTGAATGTCCAATGTATAGTGAGTATAGTTGTAGTCTTAAATCACTTTTTGCACAACATGCCAATTTTCCATGACCATGCCAAGAGACAAATTTCCAGCCAAATTATATTTTTTATATTAAAGTTGTTTTTTCCTAAAACTTCACTTTGTGTTTACAGTCCAGAGCAATTTTTTCCACAACTATGTAAAATGCATATTTTGCTTGTATGGATATACCAACAGAAAATGTGAGATTAATAATAACAATGGCCACTTTCCATGCCCTTCAAAATATGTGGCATGGCAGAATTTTGCTTCTAATTCTATGTAGCTACTTAGAACAGCATTACAGAAACTGTATCAGCCATTCGGATTGCTGCACGATTAGTCAGTGTTCAATAACGTCCAACTATCCCCATTTCAGAAGTGAAGAAACTAGGGGTGACAAGTCAGGTGATTTGCCCAAAGCAAGAGAGGCAGCCATTGGTCAGAGCTTAGGTCAGAACTCAGGAATTATTTTATCTTTCTTTATTGACAGATGTCATTTCATGGAAGGAAAGAATTCATCTGACTTTTTCCAATCCAGATGGGATTTTCAGGGGTGACAGTTAATAAAGTTATCTATGCACTTGAAAACAGAGTACATTGGATATGGAGTCCTTGAGAGGCAATAAACATGGAACCCTACTTACTATTTTTACAGTGTCTTTTTTCAGAGAAGAACACACTTAAGAAAAGAAACTCTGAAGGGTAAATTTTCAAATAATTACATGAGGTTTAATTCTCCTCTTGAGTCTCTTGTTTGAGACTCTCATTAAAGTGAACAGGAGTCACACAGCTTAGGTCTTCAAAATACTTTGGGAAAAAACATTATGCATTTTTATAAAATGTCACTATACTTTGTAGTAATGATTTTAAAAATATGAAAAAAAAATCAAGCAGAATAAAGAAAATCAAGCATTAAAAACTTCAGCCTTGTAAATAATCCAATAATACACTGGCTGAAGCAAGCAAGCCTGTAAATCCTGAGGCATTCCAGATACTGAAATTCTATAACTGCTTACATTCCAGACCTAAAAAGGGAGATTTTCTTTGATTTTGTTTGGAAAGCAGTTTTTAACTCACTACTATTCATTTGTTTAATTAAGAAAATATTTTTACTCATTTTAGAGGCTCCATACATGTAAAAGCTGACTTAACATGTGCAGGTGAACAGAGAATTGAAATAAGGAAATAAGTTGATGATGAGAGAATTAAAGCAAATATTTTCCTTCAATGAGAACTGAAAAACAGGACTTTTCTTTTTAAAAGGACTTTTAAAATAGAGATGAATATACTTCACCGATGGTAGTTACAGTACCTTTGACTTGTGCTGAAAGGATATCTTGATATTTGAACCTATATCACCTCTGAAGCCTGTCTTTTCACTTTTAAATAGCTGTGTTCCAGTATGGATGGCTAAGAATCTGATACTGCCAAAATACTAAATGCCTCCTGAAATTCCAGAAAGCTGTCTGTAGGTATCTAAACATCTTTGAAAGGAGGCCCTCAAAATATAGACAGATATTCACTTGGGACACTGTCAGAAGCACCTTTTCCACTGTCATTAGTCACCCAAGTCCCATTAAAATCAGTGGGAAGTAGTCACTTCACTTGCTTAGGTGCAACTGGAAATCCCATGAGGGACTTACCTGCACCTTTTGATGCCTAACTATCTTTCAACATCTGTCCCTCAGTACACTCTACGTCTCTCAAGATCTGCTCCATCTTTATGGGGTCCTGATTAGTGCAGAGTGAGATAGTTGTCCATGCAACAGCTTCTCAGGTGCAATAAATGAGAAGCACAGATTTTTTTTAACAGAATTTTCTTCCTGCGACTCCAGAACAACACGGTAGATGGTACATGGGAGGTTTAAAGCATGGACTACAATATTAATACCGTTCCATTTTAGTTAATGGGGATAGAAGAGAATCACCTACCTCACACACCAAACAAATAAACTCACTATCCTCTTATTTTTGAAGTGCAAAACCAGGGTTTCACTATCCCTAATGAGAAACTACTGCAGATAAACAATACTGCTCTGACAAAGAAAAGAGGGTTCTATCCAGGATGCAGACTGCATTTACCTAATCTCCTCCACAAATACTTCTTTCTATTGAATTTAACATTCTTGCTCTTATGTACTAGCACAATGCTGCAATGTCTGGAGTCTGATGTTATAAGGGAAATCTGACTCTATAAAAACAAAATCATGGAAATGTACAAAAATCATGTAAATGTTTCCATTGGTTTTAGGTTTTATAAAACCTTATTATTTTTAAAGCCAAAATGTTCCCCCTGACAATGGCCATTAATCATAGATAAAATTCCTGTTTTAAAGGCTGTTATGGAAAAAAAATTGAGCAACATACAAATAATAGACTCTGAGGGCAAAAATGTCCCATCAAGACTGCAACCCAAATAGTATAAGTGAATTATACTGTAAGCTTGATGGCAATGCTAATTTCAATGTTCCTAAATGCAACTGTGGTTCTTTTTGTTCAATTATCATACCTAAAAGGAACTTCAAAAATTTAAACAGGAAAAAGACCAGGAATGCTATAAATAGGGGTGTACTGATAAAGATTTTCTTGGCCAACACCAGTAGTCAATTATCACCCAGCCATATCAGCCGATACCAACCCAATAACTGATATTAACTACAAGATGAGTCATGCTGGGCAGAGCTGGACAGCTCAGCTCTGCCCTCCCCTCCCCAGTCACATCTTGGGCATTTGGCACCTTTTACAGCACTCACTCCAGCCCCAGTCTGCAGTCCGCGCTGGGGTGGCCAGCAAATTGCAAGCAATTTTGGCACTAGAGACAAACCGGGGACAGATGAACGGAAGAGGTTAATGTAATCATGATCTGAAGTCAGGGGGCAGAGAGCTGCTGGCATTAGAGCAGCATTTCTCAACCTGTGGGTCATGACCCAAAAGTGGGTTGCAAGAATATATGAAAAGGGCACAAACAACCTTTAAAAATGGATCAACAAACTTGAAAAATGTATTTTCCTTTAAAGGAGAAACAGGTGGGAAACCATGGCTTTTCCCTTGCAGGCTGACAGAGTTCCAGCTTGCCACAGGCTGCTTGCCCCCTACTTCATCTCCCCTGGTCCCACATACTGGGGAGCTGGGGCATGGGGGGAGGCCCGCAACAGGCAGCAAGTCAAGAGTAAGGGGGACTGGGTTGGGACTGGCCATCAATGTTTACAAATGGGTCCTGGTACAAAAAGGGTTAAAAAGGAGGGAGACAGCACCAGTTATTAAGAAGAAGCATGCATGGGCTTAGGCATATGTTAATGAGGTGAAGGTGAAGGTGAAGGAAAGAAGCTAGCTCCTGTGCAGCACAAGACAGTGAAATCAGAAGCAAAGAAAGGGATGGACTAACAGGACAATGAGCTGGACTAACAGGACATGCTGGCACCAAGAGAAGGGCTTGAGGCAAAGTGATAGGCAGTACAAAGAATTAAGAAAGGCATACTAGTATTAAGAGTAATGAAAAGGTATACACACCAAGGCTGAGACAAAGAGATGCTAACAATAGTAGAAGTAGAGAAAGGCAGGAGCCAGGCTGCAGGTAGAAGTGAGAAGGGGACATATGTTTTTGGGGAAGAAATGAAAAAAAGCAGGCTTTCACTAGTAGGAGAGGAGCTAAGGAATTCATACAAGAGAGGGATGGGGCCCGAATACTTGCAGCTATTTTAAGTATTTGACATTTATATTCATTTTTTTCTTTACAGATTTCACTAAATGCAAATATCAGCAAAATAGCACAATGCATGCTTGGAGTCAAGCCTAATCCAAGATTCAAACATTCCTAATTATTATGTTTTCAGTCTGATGCCCATTACAAAATAAACTAGAACTATGGAAAATGACTTATTTTGGCAATTACATACAGTTTTGCAAAGAATAGTGTGTGTGCCATTCTGACACTCATCTGTAATACATCTTGTATACTTAAAAATACTTACAACCTTGAACGACTGGTTTAGATTTGATAGACTCTTTAACTGTTGACCTGGTAATAGTATCTTTCTCATTACCATTTACTGTGGTCTTCTTCAGGCAATCTAGATTCCATTGTTTCCAAACAAATTTCTGTGGTTTTAGACCTGAAAAGGAGAAGGTAACTTTAGAAAAACACAGAATATTGGTGTTACTTTTGAAAACTGCTCTGTACCAAGCATGGCATCTTTCCAAATATAGGCAGGGTAAAGTAGTACCTCTTAACTGTGTAGAGTTATAACCTTGAAAACGATCTCATCATCAATCCATTCTTAGTATCAGACAAAGTAGGCTGTCACCCACAAAAGCCCATGCCTCTCCAAACATGTTAGTTCACAAGGCTACCCAGTAGGCTTTCTGCCCAACTTCAGACTCACAAGGCTAACTATGTCTCCTTCAAAATAAAGTTACTACTTTTTAATTTCCTTTTCAGGCCTCAAGTCTTGTGCCTAAAATTAAGCATGTGACCAGTCTGGCTACCTTCAACAGGATTACCTGCAAGCTTAATATTACACACGGGCAAAAGAACTTGTAGGTTCAAGGCCATAATTTATATTGTGTTTGGATTATTATTCATGTTTATACCATTAATAGAGATTAATAATTTACATTAATGTTTGGGATAAAAATATTCATTTCTTTTCTTGTATCACATGAGATGCTTCCAAGGAACCTGCTAAGTATTCTGATCTTCAGCTATTATGTTCTCACTGCACAATATTCATCCTTATGCATTTCACTAATTGCAATAGAATAGTGGTGTCAGTTTCTCATTAGCATTTTAAAAACACAGATTTTTTAAAATTTTCTATAAAAAATACTATAATTGGTAATGCATGACCAATATAAATAAATTCTTGGGAAGCTCAAGTTAGGCTCTTACTGAAAGCTTATAATTATTGTTTTTTAAACAGTGCTTCTTTTTCCTCATATAGGGACTGTGAATGCTCATATTACTATCTTTGGTTTAATTTTCATCTACATTAGTATTACCTAAATGGACTATATTTGTTATCTTCCTTTTTTCTTCCAGTTGGTTTTAGGCAGGAACTTCTTGATGAATATTTCTTGAAAGGAGAAATCTCTTTATTTTGTGGTTGTTCCAATTCTAGTAATTTGACATTCTTTCATTGCAAAGGCTTTGTATTTTGTCAAGGCTGTGAATTATTTTGGCAGTTGTGCACAATTTTGCCTTATTTTGTGGTTTTGAACTTCCGTTCCAGTAGAATTTTTGCTGCTTCTAACACAGAAGTTTCTGTTCTTCCAGAATGATATGGAATCTGTTCCATAGCAGTGGTATCCTAGTTCTTTTTGGTAATTCTTCTAAATCCTGATAACTCTGCCCACTATCTAGTCATAGTAATTATATGTTACAGAGTACATCACTGCGCTTATTCAGCATGACCCATGTAGGGGTCATAATGCCTGCTTATTCCTAGCTAGTTAATGTTGGGCTGCCTGTTGGCTAGCCCTGCACTGAAGCACCCTTGTGCCTCAGCCAGCTCCCCCACAACACACAGAGCCTGGTTGGAGCGACCCTGGGCTGCTCTGACTGGGCTCCATGTGCTGCACACAAATAAACTCCAGAGCAACATTCTTCAAAGTTTTTTTGCTCCGGGGTACATATTCAAACAGCGCACCCAGGAACAAAAAATTCTGGACCAATAAGCTCTGGAGTTTATTCATGAGCATTAATCACATATCTAGATGCACCCGCTATTATTATTATTTGGTAAATCATGTAGATCTAACTTTAAAACTGTAAAATCAAACTTCTTCTGCCAAAGAAGTTCTAAAATGGCAACTAAAGCTTGATCCCTGCAATAATTCTCAAAAAAATTGTCCCATTGCTACTTCAGAAGTGAATACTAGTTTTAGTTCCAAGTCCTTTTACAACACACTTATGTTTAATTGGAAGGGAAGATACTCTAAAGCTTCCTTCCAATAGACATTCTTGGCCTGTCTCTGCCTGTTTCCTTTCTCTGTAATCACATGACACCTTCTCATTTATTCATAGCAGAAATGCTAGATTGTGCATGTTAATTGCACTACTGTGCTCAACACAGGTTCTTCCAGAATATTCCCATAGGATCACAAGAAAGAATCAACAAGGTGAGTTCTGCAAACAGCAGTTTACTCTTACAGCACCACTAGTATGAATCCCTGGAGATTCTCTGATCCTTGCTGGCTAATTCCAAAAGCTTAAATATTTTTTCAGCTAATGCCTTCTAATGATTTCTACAATGATCCACAGATTAGAGATAATAGCTTGAAAAATGTTTTTAATCAGTCTTACATTCAGGTATCAGGCAAAATAAATTCATTTCTAAAGGAAGACCCATTCACAACAACTCATATTCCAGAATACTTTATAGTGCTGAGATATCTTATAGTGCTATTAAACATGGAGTAATATTTCATATTAAAAGTTATGATGGATGAATTTACAATTTAAAAAATGAACAAACCCAATAGTTCTAGACAGGCTTTACCAAATCTAACTAGCTAACACTTAAAAGTAAAAGGTACTGAGCTAAAAGTAGCAGTAAAATAACTGAGTTAACAAATATAAGAGCCGGGAAAAGCTAGAGGAATCAAGACTGTCTAATATTTCCTGGTACAGCAAGACACAAACATCAGAGGATGGACATTCTACTCTAACTAATATTACTAAACAAAAAACACCAAAGCCCAGTTAGATTGCTATTTACGCAGTATGAGAAGCAGTACAATTAGAAAATCAGAGAGAGTAAACAGATTGGTTGAGAGGGTTGTAAAGCATAGTTAACAGTTAATGCTTGTGAACAACTTTATACCCTTTTCCTAAGCATTTTTAAATATGTCAGGTCTCATTTTATGTTTTCCTAAATAAATAAGAAATGTTTTTCCAGAGGGAAGATGAACACTCAGCTCAGAGTCTCTTCATTTGCTTTCTGATCTACTACCAATTGTTTTCAATTCCCAATACTCTACATAAGCCAGCTATTGGAATTTGTGATAGTGACACTTTAGATCAGAGAGAAAGCTTTGAGAATAGCCATTCTAATAGAGCAATTCTTACTATTATTAAATACTACCCATAGTCTTAATGAAGGAAAGCTATATTGAAATGCTAATATCTAGAAGACTTACTATAGTACACTTTAAATATGTCGATTAATTAACAGTACCTGATACCCACTGAAAGATTAGATCTACTAGTCCATCTTTGAACTCATCACCAAAATATGTAGTGGATTCTGGAAATGCTTCACAGAAAGCAACATAAATGACTTGTGACAAACAATCAGGGTACACCTGCCAAAATAAATATTACACTTAATATAATAAGCTTACCCAAACTCCTTCCATACTAAAGTTAATGTAGTACAAACTTTTTGTTCATAAAGTATACTCAGATGAAAAGTAGCAATCACTGAACTGCTGCATTCAAAGTAGTTGGAGCCTTCATTACTTGTGGGAAAGATTAAAACAACTATATCAAAAATAAAGGTCTAGTAGCTCAATACCTTGCTAAACAAGAGTAAACATCAGAGTTGGCAGCTAGATGAAGCATTGGAAAGTGATGATTCTAGACTCTTTCATGCTTTTTAAATTATTAATTCTGGGCTAAAATGCAGTTTATAAAATAAAAATTGTTTAAGATTTAAGTAATCACCATATGTAATGAAAAGTAAGCATTTTGAAGAATTCTGCCCTGTTTATTGTAGCATTACATTTCATTGGTCACTTGCTGTGAGCCAAATATTAATTTCATATTGAATGTAAGCCATTCCAACATTTTTCCTAGAATCAGCGTGTTCTCTCTCTCTCTCTCTGTCTCATGGACACACACAACTTGTTTTCTGTAGCTAAAATGCTGTTGGCTAGATGTATGCATCTGTGGCAGGCCAGTAGGGGGTGCTCCTGAGCTGAGCCACCAACCTCACTGTGCCCAACCACCTTCAAGGCTCCGAGTGCCTCTCTGGGGGTGCCTCATGTGTGGCCGACCCCCTTCCTGGAGCATACCTGCTAGCCTGGGTGTAACACTGCTACCACTCAGGGTCTGGAGTGATCCTAGCTCTGTGCCCCCTGGGAAACACAGGCCCAGCAGCCCTTGAGGGTACACGACCCACTTCAAGAACTTGGGGTGCTTCCCTCAGTCTGAAGCACAAATAGTAGTCTCCCTTAGTCAGCCAAACCAAGGGGACCCCAAGGCATAATCTAGACCCACTCCCAACAAGTCTCCCTTGCTAGGTACAAAGGAGAACTTTATTGGTTACAAGGAGTAGGTTTGGGATAGGGTACAGAGTAGAGCAATATCAGAGAAATCCCATAGAGCAAAAAGGGTGTCTGGATAGCCCTTGATCACACATCTGAGTTACTGCAAGCTGTATATCTAGTTAGATCTCAGGTAGCTTACTCACAAGTATCATCCAGAGGCAGGTGGAGATTCCCTCTGGAGGCAGGCAGTTCATTGATTATGAGTTTCAAGAGAGAGAGCAAGTCTCAGATGATCCAGCTCTTCTCTCCCTGAGTTTTCATCATGGCTACTGCCCTTCCCCCTTGGCAGTCTTTAACTTATATAGACCTTATGACCTCATTTACCTGGTCCAATGGAGACCAGCACCTGTTGGCTGCCAGTCAAGCGATTTGAAATGCAACACTGGTTGCCGGCTAGACTGGCAGGGTCTTTAGCCCCCTCCCAGTCAGGTTGGCATTGCTTAGACCAATAAGGAGCCGTAAGCCCCTCACCCAGGTATGTGATGCCAGTCACGTAGGCAGAGGGAGCAGGGTTTCCCCCTCCCTCAGGAATGTATCCAACTCAGGTTACCTAAAGAGATGGGATGTCTGCGCTTTGCAGGGACCATGTTAACCAAATTGTCACATAGCAGAGTTTTAGGGACAGACAAGGGTGGCATTCTGCCACAGCATCCACATACTTGTGGATTATGTCCACATTTCTATAAAGCTCAAAAATAAAATCTATTCAGATAATATTATTAAGGAAATAAAGAATCCAGGCCCTTGATTTTCTATAATTTTGGTATCCATCACTACATCAATTACATATAAAATGCCATCTTTACTACACATTAGTCTGAACTTAAGATCTGAGCACATATGATGATTCTGGTCTAAAGGATGTGGTTATTTGTCACATAATACACCTTACAACATTGACAGTTATTTACATAATTCTCTCTACCTCTTCAATGTGGTTTGTAGGTCAATGGATCCCACCAGAACAAGGTATTTTGGATTTCTGCTCTTTTTTGGCCTTATAGCTAGTTTTCCTCTGATAGTCTGTATGACTTTGTAGCTAAAGAGTTCCCAAAGAAAGGAGGGAAAGCTGACAGAATAAGTCTAGGAAACCTTTTTAATTATTATTAAATTTTTAAAAATTGCTGAGTAACTTAACAAAGGGAATGATTTTCAAGAAGCACAAATACAGGGTGTCTAATTCCTGCAGAACCTTAATGAGAATTAAAGCCTAAGTGCCATTTGTGCTACTGAAAATCATCCTTAAAATACTGGTATAGAATCTCAAATATAAATTATTGTTTGTTTAAGAAAAGGTAAGATAATTGCTTGTTAACAGCTTAAAAGGGACTCACAACCTAGGAGTAAGTTCCAAGGGGCATAGCTTCTCAAAGCAGACTCAGAACTTCTGACAGAAGTAGCAAGACATCCTTATTTACTAGTTTTTCTCTGGCACTCATCACAAAAGTTTCTGAACACCTCTCATAAATTTATGACATTTTCTACATAGCTGCATTATCAAGAGGGGAATATATGTATATATGTCTCATTAGAATCACAAAGTGCCTTACAAAAATGAATTAACTGTGTCCCAACATAAGATCCAACCCCTCCCTTCTCGAGTTAAAGGTTCTTACCGTTAACTTACATGCAAGTCTGAATTGCAACTTTCACTGTCAGGGTGCTATGTAGAGTGACATATTTAAAAAGGCCAGATCTACAAAAGGTATTTTAGATAATTACACTCCATTTAAAATAACAATTCCATTGATGTCAGTGGGACTTTAAATATCAAAATAGCAGTTAGATGCCGAATCATCTTTATGGGTCCAAGCTTAAGTAACAGAGCAGCCTAGGTTCCACTTTCAAAAGAAAGATAGGTACCTAAGTCTCAATGTCTTTCAATGAGGTTTATGTTCTTAAGTAGACCTGGCTAACAATGAGGATTTCTAGTTTCCAGGAAATGTATTTGTCCCTTCTGGAATATGGCTTCAATATAAATCAAACCTCAAACTTTTCTTTTGTTTTTTTAATTTTCAGTAAACCATGTGGTCCCCAGACTTTACAGCTGCTCAGTGAAACTAACATTCTTGTCAGTTGTACTGTTAATAGAAGACAAGAACTTCTACTTTCCTGAACAGCTGAAAGGGATTCCCAAGGTCTCCAGCCTCAGAGTAAAGCCAGGAGGCACATCTGATGGATGACTAAAGAGCTGTGAAATGCCTTGGGGCTGGGAACTCTCACTTCCTAGGGTCCCTAACTCAGGATAAGCCCTACAAGACACATCTGCCCACTGTTTCCAACATCTTCAACTCCAGGGGAGACCTTCCAGGAACCCGGGCAGTTTTCTCAGAACTTTCAGTTGGTTTTAGTTATAAAAGTTAATTGTATCTAAGATGTTTCAAATTATTTTTTTTAGACTCAAGGAACCTTCATTTTCAACAAAACTTTCAACAAGAAAGTTTCCTACCAGCTCTACTTCAAAGTTACATGCATTGTGAAAACGTTACTCAAGTACCAGCTTTGCCCTCAATTCTCTTTCTTTTGTTTGGCTGTACAATGCAGTTTTAAGCAGAGTAATTTTTGTAGATATCCAAATAAAGGATGCTGTCTCTGTATACCTTCCCCTTTTAAATATCTAATTTCCATGCAGTTAATATATTTGAGCATAGTATTTGGAAGAGGAAAGACAAGATCCTAAAAACTTGAAATCCTAAATCACTGCACTGCTACCTGAAAAAATGCATCTTTTGTATTCCTGGGAACGCACAGGAAAAGTCCCACAAAACTGTCTGCAATTCTGTCAAATAAGTGGTCTTGATCTTCCTGATTAGTCTTAAAAGGAAAAGAAAATTGGAAAAAAGTGTTTCAACATAAAATCAAAAGCATATTATGGGTTAATACAACAATATGTGAAATGTAGACTCTTATTCTGCAGTTTACTTAAGCACAAGTAACATGGTTACTCACAGGAGTTAACATACCAGGCTGAATTAAGCCTTATGAATTTCTTGTAGCATTGATTTGCTAATACAAGAAGCAACACTGTAACCATTTTACATTCTGTTATAGTGTCAGTCCCACATTTGCTAAATGATATACCAAATCATGACCAATGACCACAACTACAGCCCTGTACTGTAAAAACACCTTTATCTATTTTTTCAACAAGGTACCTATTGATATCTTGAGTTAAAGTTACAGGGCATGTGCAGACATTACAGTTAGATCAACCTAACTAGGATTAGGTCAATCAAAGGGCTGATTTTTATAGACATTGGGGGGGAGGGCGGGGGCTAGACTGGGCAAAAAAATGGTTGGCCCAATCTGAATTAGTTAACCTCAGGATATGAACTAAGTTATTTTGGGAATGAGTTAGCCCAACCTAACTAATGTCTCTACAAGTTTGAAGTGCAGCCCTGGGGTTGGGGAAGCCCAGCCACTAGTTACAGACCAGGAGCTGTGCTCTTCCTACTTCCTCCCTGCCTGCCAACTGGGCAATTTTTAACACCCCAGCCTGCTTACTCCCAGACAACCCCCTCCACCCATGGCTGTTGAAGACTCTATTCAATCTCTCCCATGAGAATAGAATCACACCTCCATACAACCAAGAATTTGCATTTTGTTCATTTGAACAGGATAGATGAGAATATTTAACATCGATAAGAATATTTAACATCAATTTATACCTTAAATTGCTGAAGAAACCACCACCAAAAAGAATCCTGGAAAACAGCAATAGATGCTTCTGAGAGAAACAACTTTCTCCAAACTTTAAAGACAGCTTTCTGTCAAAACAAAAAATGTACTTAATTTATTTATCCTGATTCTAGAGATGTGAAAACAAAACGTAAAGAGAACGAGCTGTGCGCTCCAAAATAAAATTCAGCAGATAGCATGAACTTTTCTTGGCTTCAGCAGATACTTAGAAAAAACCTCATGAGGATACTGCCCAGGTCTTGCAGAATTGAAAAAAAAAACAAAAAACAGACACTGTCAGTCCTCTACTTTGGGTTTCTTAACATTGAGTCCCGAACTAGATAAACAGATTGCCTGATTTTCACGTGTAAAGCAACTGCAGCTTCCATTAAGTTGGACTGCAGTCTCAGATGCTCAATACAACTGAAAAGCAGGGCAAATTAATGCCCACAAAATTAGTGAGACTATAGGTAAAGTTCTGACAAGGTTCTTTGGGTAAATCCAATATCTTTTATTAGACCAACTCAAATAGTTGGAAAAATTCTTCTTTCCAAGCTTTCAGGTACAAATACCCATTGTCAGGCAGAGGAAGCATTTGCAGTTGGTCTGTGCTCTTCCTGGATGGAGTAGTAAAACAACCAGAGGCCAGTACATATGCAAGAAAGCCACTCAGTTAAAATGTAAACTGAGGTAGTTAATAGGTGAGAGACAAGTGGCAGGGGGCAGGGGGAGGGGAGGAAGAGGATCCCCCACCATCATGATCCTGGCTTCCCCCTGCACAGGCTATTAGAAAACCAGTCAGCTGATCCTTGGTCCCAGCCTCAGGATCACATTGGAGTCAAGGGCTCCAATATGTCCCTGAGGCTGGCAGCAGAGATCAGCTGACAGCCACCAGGGTGCAGTGGAGCCCATGACTCTGATGCACCCCAAGCCTAGGAGCCCCAATCAGCTGCTACTCCCAGCCTCCAGGTGCAAGAAACTTAAAAGGCTCTGCTGCAACCTGGTGTCTGGGCACAGAAATCAGCAGCTGCTTCCAGCTGCAGGGGTGCACTGGAGCCCTTGACTCTGTGGCACCCCAGCAGGTGAGTGGCATGGGGCATGACAGAGACAAAGCCTCTGATGCTCCCCTGCAGCTGGGAGCAGCAACTGATCTGCACTCCCAAGCTCTGGGATGCAGTGGAGTCAAAGGCTCCATTGTGTCCCCCATGGCTGGGAATGGCAGCTGCTCAGGGCTCTCACCTCCAGGGCATATCACAGCCCATGACTCCATGAGTCCTCAAGGCTGGGAGTGGCAATCAGCTGATGGGCTCTCCTAGCCTGGGAAGCATGCAATCAAGTCAAAAGCTCCCATGCACTCCCTAAGCCTCAAGCTCCAATCAACCTGGCAACATGTACATTTTAAGGTGTGATGGGAACCAGGCACAAAGTTATCGCATCTTTTTGAGTAATAATTTTGTGACTTAATCCATGTTTTATCACAACATTAATTGCACTACCACATGGCTGGGTTACTACTTAGATGTGATTAAGTGGTCTTAATCACGTCTTACATGTAACATGTTTTGGGGCCTTTGAAAAGGATACTTACATAGTGGCCAAGCACTACCACCTATTAAATTGGAAGCTGCAGAATGATAACCTTTGTCTATTTACACCAAAAAGGTGTTAAGCTCTATTAACACTCTCTGCCAGCAATATTTTTATATGTGGAAATTGTAATGATGTATATTTTGAGGGACTGATATATCAACCTTACTTCTGAAGTTTAGTATTTCATTACCAGCCTTCAACATGATTGTACAAACTTTTTACTTAAAAAAGTGCTTGTGCATGCATACTGGCATATTGCCTATTATTTAGAAAAATAGATGACCTAGACAGCTCAAAATCCTGAATTTTAGCTCCATCCCCAATTCCATAAAGTCTGCTTTTTGTCATACTGACACTACTTGGCCTTGAACAAATGACAGAAATTAATAACTGTCATAATAAATAAATCTGACATTCAATCAAAGTGCATGAATTCCAGAAAAATGTGGTGCACAAATGACATAGTGCTTACAATAGTCTCTTTTACAAAAAAAGTGAATGTTAAACAACTGCAATTGTACTCCACATATAGAATTATAGTTTTTATACTGATCAGAAATGAAAACTTTATATTTATAGAGATGAAAATAGTCAGGGCAAGTTATGATTACTGAATGCAAAAAAAAAAAAAGAAATTAAGATATGGGAATGTCAACTGTAGGTAATATTGAAGTGGAAAGACTGAGAGGGTTTGGATGAGAGGAAGACAGGACCCCCAAAAAGAACAGTTAGTTCTTCAAGATGGCTTTTTCCACATTACTTCCATTCTCTTGGTGAACATATGCCACAAGTATGTAAGACTGTATTCTTCTGGTCAGCAGTGTCCTCTGAGGCAATGTTTCACCTTAATCATCTTTGATGTGCCTCCTTCCTGCTGGCATAATGAGCAGAATGGGCCTTGAATAGCAAAGTGCAGCATTAAAGCTTCACAGCTTCTAAGTCTGAGTTTACAGCTGTAAATTACTATAACATTGTTTCTTTCAAAATAATATTTAGCTTTGAGACACTAGAGTAGGGCAAGCTTTCATTGTTGCTGCCTGAGGTCAGCCTGTTCTGTAATAAATAAAGGACATAATTGTCTAGGTTTATCTTTTTGGTATCCTTCAGGAGTACCTAAAGCAGATACAAAAAACTTAATGGAAAAAAGGACCATGTGATAAGCCTGATCTATGAAAAATTTTGAATAATTTATGTCAGCAATTTCTACTTAGGAAAATGGGAGTGAAGACTACATACTTTGAAATTTTGAGCTTTTATAACCAAGTCCCACAGATCTGCAGCGTCTAAGTGTCTCGGCAGTTCTGAAAGCTGTTTTACCTTGAAACCCGGGTAGTGACAGTTCTAAACAAGAAAAAAAAAGTTTAATTGTACAATCTAATTATTATGCTTTTATTTATCTTAGATTTGCACAGCTAATCTGCTGAGGATATCAGATAAAACATATCTCCAAAATCTTTTAAATGTGAAATTAAAGACACTCACTCTATAACAGAGATGCCCCATTTTGGGAGCCCCATTTTATCAGCAGTTTCTTCACCAATTGTTTGTTCTCATTATTCAGTCCTAGTAAGAAGTCCAGTTTACCAGTAAGTAATTTTCATTCAGCTGGCAGCTGACACAGCTGCCTCCAGCTGGTAAATCTGTTGGGATTGTGGGAGGGATGGGGTATGCGGGAGGGAGGGATTGGGGCTGGGACAAGTTGCCCAACCAGGGCAGGGGGGCATGGGATGTGGGCGCAGCAGTGCTGGGAGCAGGGGCTATGCCCTGCTGCCGCCCAGAGCGAGCCAAGACTGCATTGCATCGCCCCATCCCCACGCCAGCTGGGCAAGCGGCAGCAGGACAGAGCCCCCGTGGCTCTGCCCACCAGGGCAGAGGTAGGCACAGCCAGAGGAGACACAGAAACCCCCATGGCTGCCCTGCCTGGCCCCATCCCCCGCCCAGTCCATCCTCCCAGCACAAAAGCCCCCCCCCCAAAGAAAAAAAAAAAAAAAAAGCCCCACACTCACTGGCTCTGGCAGCAGAGATCAGGGCCTCCAAGGGCTCATGGCAGAGCCCCCCCTGCGTAGTGTGGCACAGTGGGGGGCAGTGGGTATCGCCCCTTCCCCACCGCCTGGCATCCATATGGCAGCAGTTGCATTGCGTGGGTGCAGTGTGGCTTGGCAGGGCATCGTGCACTGCCTGGGAGTTGGGGCCACTGGGGCTGAGCACTGCTGGGCACTGGCTGACTGCTGGAGCTGCCCCAGCTCTCAGACAGCAGGTGAGCTCTGCCACAAGCACCCAGAGGCCCCAAATGTCGCTCCTGCAGCTGGTGAGTACGGGACTTTCTTTTTTTTTTCTTAAAGCTCCATACTCACCAGCTGCAGCACTGGTGATTGGGGCCTCTGGGCGTTCATAGCAGAGCCTCCCCATGCAGCATGGGGCAGTAGGGATCACCCCCTCCCCCCGCTTGGCACCCACACAATAGCTGTAGCATTACGTGGGTGCAGTGCAGCTCGGCAGAGTGCTACGCGCTGCCTGGGAGCTGGGGCAGCTCCACGTGTCAGCCAGAGCCTGACACCTCTCAGCCCCAGCAGCCCCAGGTCCCAAACACAGGGAGCACCCTGCTGAGCCGCACTACACCTGCACCATGAGGCAGCTGCCACATGGATGCCAGGAGGGGGGAAGGGGGCAAATCCCACTGCCCCGCACTGCCCCACGCTGCATAGGAGGGCTCTGCCACGAGCCCTCAAAGGCCCCAATCGCTGCTCATGCAGCCGGTGAGTTCAGAGCTTTTTTAATTATTGTTATTTTTTAAGTGCCAGGACGAGGCTGGGGCTGGCCGGGCGCAGGATAGAGCCAGACAGGGAAGCCATGGGGACAGGCAGGCACCTTCCCGGGGGCAGGCAGGCACAGCCAAAGGACCCGCAGGAGAACCTGCAACCACTCAGCTATGTCTGCCTCTGCACAGCTGATCCAAATCACCGCCGAATCTTCCAAAGCAGATTAGGCCAAATCAATTCAGGACAGTAATCCGAATCTCCTAATCAAATCACTATCCTCCAAATCAGCCAAATCTGAATCCAAATCAAATACTTCCCTATTCGCACAGGCCTAATAATTACTGTGTTTTTTTGGTGCACGAGTCAACACAGTGTATACGTCAACCCTATATTTCTGATCCAAAAAGCTCTCAGGGAGGTTTGCCCCATGGGCAGCACAACCTCATGAAATTTCTTTCCATTCAGTCCTCCAGGTCTCTCTGAATCCTTCCCCTACCCTCCAGCATATCTACTACTATCCCCAGTTTGGTGTCATCTGCAAACTTGCTAAGGGGGCACTCTATGCTATCTTCCAGGTAATTTAGTTAAAGGTAGTCACTGTGGATTTCCACTTGTAATTATGTTCCAAGTGCACAGAAGACCATGGTAGGCTACTGTTCTAGTTCAGAAAGCAATAACTCTGTGCCTTATATAAATCTTACCTATATTTTGAACATTCTGTTATTTTTTACCTCAAGCCAAGTGGCTTAGCTTGTGCTTCAAAGTGCAGGAAGTAATATAAAATAATAATAAAACTAGACATTTTTTTAGTGATACAAGATTTTCAAAACAGCAGCCAGCTATTCACTGATACTCTTGTGAAGTACATGGTTTCTGACATGCTGTTTTCAATATTACTGCTCAAGCAAGTCAAGTGAGCAGGTTTTGGATCTTATATTTGTCATCTGAGGAGGAGAATTCAGATTTTCTGTCTTTGTTTATCTCAATAATATTTTCCTTTACTTCATTAGCTCAGTTAAAACTACATTAGTAGGTTATGTTAGAATTCTGCAGCCGCTTCTCTATCCAATGAAATTTGCTAAGAATCGTTATTTTAGAGCTCAGGCTTGGAAACACACCTAAGTAATGTTACTGACGTAACCTAGCACTCTTAGCTGGCAAGGTTCCCCTTCTGTGCTTTTACCAGCTAGTTTTGGTTAGAGGGTCCTTTAACTCATGCTTAAAGTCAAAGAATCTCCAGGAGCTATAGGGATCCAAACACAGAATTGACAAAGAGCCACATTTGCTTCCTCAGATCCTTTATCAAGCACATTTTAGAAAGACACGCATTGAGCCCCACAATTCAAAATAACCAACACACTAATATTATATTTAGATTTGCTTTTATATCATGTATTGAAATTTATGTAACTAAAAAAAGTTATCATGACTCTCTAATACATATAAGTTTTGGGCCTGATTCTGTAGTTGTTTCTTTCCCTGAACTGATTTCCATATCCTTTGATATAATATGTTGATATATCATAATCTATAATATTTGGTAACACTTACCTCTACATTTTTATTACTTGATTCCTCAGGAATGTATTTAGCAACCTGAAAATGTTTTTTAAACAAATTATTCAAATGATTCAAAATTAATACTAACTGCATTTTTACAATGAAGTAAACGTCTTACTGGATTCCCAGGTACAATGAGAACATAAAATACCCCAATATTACTTCAAATTCAAAACAATGGCCTCTGATACCCAAAAGTCTTATGTCACATTCCCCACTTCAATATAAAAAAGGGTTATAATTTTCCAAGTAGCTTTGTCTCTGTGAGCATTGGTAGAACAGTGATCTTACCCCTAGACACAAGATAAAGGACCCTTTGGAAATCTGTTCTAAGGTTGCCTGTACATGTGCAGGGACTCTACTCCAATGTGTTGTACAGAACATCGAAGCAGAGCTGATTAATCAAGTCTGCTGAAGCATGTTAGTTAGCATGATCCAGCAGCCTCTGCATCTCATGTATTCAGCATCCCCACACTTCAAAATGATGACGGGGATGCATTAACTAAAGCTCTTTGAATAAGCTTTAGTTAAAGCATCCCCACCACCATTTTGAAGTGTGGGAAGCTGAATACACAAGACGCTGCAGATGCTTTTAATTAGAGAGGCTCTCAGAACCACTCAAATTAAAGCCACCTCCCCCACCTCCCCAGGAACATGTATAAAAATTCCCTAAATGTGTAAGACAATTAAAAATATGTTTACAAATAAATAATATACCTTAGATTTTCTAAGCTTGTCTGATTGAGTTGACATTCTTTCAGGGTCAATGCACTGAGTAGTAATAGCTTAAAAAAAAAAAGAGCAATGTTCAGCAAAAAAGTTGTCAGTACTATCCTTTTAACTTCAGGATAAACTCATGGTTTTTAACTGAACTAAGGCTCCTTTTCAGCAAAGACATAATATTAGGTATTGTCTATAGTGCTCTTAATTAGATGAAGCGTAAGTTAAGTAAAATGCACAATTTCTTTCTTTTCTCACTGTCTCTTTATGACACAAATTTGTGGGGCTCATATTTGTCTGAGGTCCTACACATTTTTGCTAGTATTTTAATCTCAATCACAAAGGTAAATATGTGAATAAATCTTAGCAGGATTAAAGCTTAAAATTATTGGGTTTTATTATAAATTTAACATTACATCTACATTTGAAACTTAGAGAAAACTTAACTGACTAAATATGAAGGCTCAATATACAGCAAGCCAGCCACTGTTAAAGGAATCCTCTCTCTGCCAAATGACCCTAAGCTGATTCACTTTCTAAATTTAAAAATCTCATCTACCTAAATCTATTATGGACCTATTTTTCCTTTTAGAATGGGACAGACCGAGTACAGCCTGAGACTAAGATTCAAAAGAGTTTGTATGGTTCTGTGTATTTTTATGTGTATTTAACAAACATTAATATTTTGTTTCATCATACCAACAATAAAGCAGTGAAGTATTATTAGCCCAAGAAATCGGCCACAGTACTAGAAACTGAAACCAGATCTCCCATGTTCCAGCCTTACAATTTTATCCTTTCTGGGTTGTCTAGCAAAGGAGCTTATAACAGTGGTACTTCAAATGGAACTTTTACTGCATTACTATATTGAAGACTTTTACTTCTTATTTTGTACTCATAACATTTTTTCATGCTCACTTTGGCTGTCAAAAGAATTCAAATACTGGATATTACTGAAAGTACAAAAGGTGGTTTTTCGCAGCTTTGAAAGTGTGACTATTAATTTTGCTATAATTTGTAACTATCTGGAAGGAATGTCAAACAATGCTATTCTCTCTGATTCAGCAGAGTACATGATCACACACTTCCAAGTGCTCTTATGATTTGGGACCTTCTTTAGGGATTTAGGCCCAGAGCTTCCAAGGTATTTAAGGACCTTACTGCAACTGATTTCACTGGAAGTTAGCTGCCTAATATACTGGGCATGTCTACATGAAACATTTAATATGCAGTAGACTACTTAGCTGCACGGTAAGTGTTGCACATCTACATATGCACCCCTATTAGGCTGGAGTAAATTAATTTATTCCGCAGCAGGATAGTACTTGTAAATAAAGTACTATCCTGCTGCAGAGTAAAAAGCTCCACAGCAGCACCTGTGTAGACACTGCTTAACTGGCTGGGGCACATGGGTGCTTCAGTGTGGGGGATACCTGCTGGCTAGCCATGTACTGAAGCTCCCTCATGCCCCAGTCAGCCCGCTCCACAGCATGTTGAGCCAAGGGGAGCAGTCCTGGGCTGACAAGCTAACCCCCCAACGCTATCTGCCAGCCAGGGCTGCTCTGGCCTGGCTCAATGTTCTGCACTCCCTGGCGCACATTTAAATTTACGCCTGGGAACAATAAGCAGCAGTTTGTTCAAGCGCATTAACATGCATGTGTAGACACGCCCACTGTTGAAGATCTGGACCTCTGTGACTGACTTAAATTAGCTTTCTATTTATTTAAAATTAGCTTTCTCTCAACAGTTTTTCTGTAGTCTTATTGTTATTAGCACAGGATTCTTTGCAATATCCAAGTTAAATAAAAACAGGCAAATAAACCGACTCAACTCTCTTAAGCAAGAAGACATGAATGAAACCAACTACTTTTCATACTCAACACAAATTCTCTCTCAAATGTTTTGGGTAGGCCTGTGCAAAGTGGCTAGTATTCACTTTGGATTCATACTCGGCTGATTCAGGGGACAGTGATTTGATTCGGTGATTTGAATCACTGTCCCAAATCGATTCAGCCGAATATGATTCATAGATTCGGCCACTGCCAAATCGGCCAAATCTCTGAATTGCCCCATCCCCAGCCCACTCTCAATGGCTGCCCTGCCCACTCTTCCAGCTCTTTAAAAAAAAAAAAAGGCTCCCCCTCACCAGCTGCTGCCAGGTGGGGAGGGGCCAACCCCTGCTGCCCCACACCACATGGGGGGCTCTGCCATGAGCCCCCCCTCCCCCTTTTTTATAAAGGGCTAGGAGCTGGGCCAGGCACAGCAGCTATGGGAGGGCTGGGAGAGTGGGCGGGGGTCAGGGGGCTCGTGGCAGAGCCCTCCAGACAGCGCGGAGCAGTGGGGATCATCCCCCCCACCCCTTCTGGCAGCAGCCGGTGAGTGGGAGCTTAAGAGCCAGGAGTTGGGGCCAGGCAGGGCAGCCATGAGGGGGCTGGGACAGCAGACGGTGGTCCAGGGGGCTGGCGGAACAGGCAGGGAATGGGGCCTGGCTAAGGGTCCTCCCATGGTCCCCTCTCCCCTCTTCAACCTCCCCTCTCCCAGCCCCTACTTACCAGCATGGAATCTGGGTCCAGCTCCCTGCTGCAGCAAGTGGGGACTGTCCAAACCGCAGAAGCTCTCCGAATCAATTTGGAGAGCTTTGAATTGATTCAGACCTTTTTTGACCTGATTTGATCTGGCTTCAGAGATTCAGCCACCGAATTGGGCCAAATCTTCTCCGAATCGAATCAGCACCTGAAGCTTTGCACAGCCCTAGTTTTGGGTGCTTAAAGTTTCATTGAGGAAAATGATAACATGTTGCAGACCAGATAGCTCCATAGGCTAGAAGAACTTCCAGCCCTTGAAAAATCATGGCAGTCATACCAAAATACTTGGATAAATCTCAGAAAATACTATAAGTAATATTCAAAGTGCTCAAACAACATGAATTAGACTGTGAATATGTAGTGGAATTCAACATTTTGTTGAGAAGAAACCAGGCAGAAATAATTAGATTCTATCTCATAAATTCAATTAATAGATCAACTTATTCTTCAACATCTAAAAGATCATAATCCAGGGATAGCCAACCCCTGGCAAGCATGCCAATTAGTGGCACATGGAGATATTTTCCCTGGCATGCTAGGAGGCATGCAAGGAAATTTTTAAAAAAGATTGTTTTTAAAGTTGCTGCTCCAGGCTGTCTGGAGCAGCCATAGATCCCAGCACCACGGCAGGAACCAGGGGCAGAGTCAGGAGAACACAGGCAGGGACCCTGCCCAAGGTCCCCTGACCCTGCCCCCAGGCTGCATCCTCCAGCTTGGCCCAGCCCCTGAAGGGGAGCTGCAGATGGATGAGGCCGGGCCTGGGCAGGTGCTGTGCAGGGTAGCTGAGCTGGAGGCTCCCAGAAGGTGGGCGAGCCTTGGGTCTGGCCAGGGCTAGGACAGGTGGACACCACGTGCCACCTGGGTCAGGCCCTCAGAGCAGAGTCCAGGTAGCATGGGGAGGAGACAGAGCAGAGAAGGTCACTGCAGGCAGGCCAGCTTGACCAGCTCCTTGGAAAAATGGGGGCCAGGTGGGAAGTGCAGGCTGCCCTGGGGCTCCACAGGCTCAGGCCATGGCACGTAGCAGCACTCAAGGTGGAGCCCAGCCCAGCCCAGCCCAGCCCAGCCCAGCAACACACTGGGCCTGGGGAGTTCCCAGCTTGGCCTCCCTGCAAGCCAGTCACAGCATGAGCAGGATAGAGCTGCCGCTGGTGTGGAGGCCTGGCTGCACAGAGTCCCCTGGGCTCCAGGAACAGCCACCACAGCTACCCCAGCCAGCCTAGGCCCCGGCCTTCCCCACCCACAGCTCCTCTCCAGGGCCTGAGGTCAGGGCAGGCACTGTGCAGGCTTCCTCTGCTCCAGGACCGTCGGGGAGGCCTGAGTGCCCAAGCCACAGTGGCTGGGGCGGGGGTGGCGCGTCCCCCCAAGCCACAGTGGCTGCTGCTGGGATGTCGCTTCCTCCCGCTGCAGGACACTGCCCTGGATCCAAAGGCCCAAGCCACAGCCAGTAGCAGTGGGAGACGGCAGCGAGAGAGACACCCTCTTCTTCCTTTCTCTCTCTCTTTTTCTTCTCTTTTTCTTTTTTATTTTCTTTCCCTCTTTTCTATCCCTCTTTTTTGTCTCCTTTTTCTTTTCTTTCTCTTCTCTTTTTCACTTTTCTTTCCCTGTTTTTTGTCTTCTTTTTGTTTTCTCTTTTTTCTCTCTTCTTTCCATTTGCCTCCTTTTTCTCTTTTCTCTCCTCTTTTCTTTCCATTTTGTCTCCTTTTTCTCATTTCTTTCTCTTCTTTTTCTTTTCTTTCCCTCTTTTTATCTCCTTTTTCTCTTTTCTTTCCCTCTTTTCTCTCCCTTTTTTGTCTTATTTTTCTTTCTCTTCCTCTCTTCTCTCTCTCCTTTTTTCTATTTTTCTCTCTCCTTTTTTTCTTTACCACTTTTTTTCTCTTCTCTTTTTCTTTCCCTTTCTCACATTACAACATGCTTAACAAAAAAGAATACACAAGAATAAAGGTAGTATATGAAGTTTTATTTATTGTTACCAGGTTTAGCAGTTTTAGAAAACCTGGTATTTACCGTAAAAAACAAAGCAACATTGATGATTATTAACTATATTAATATGAAGTGCATCCTGTCATGTACCCTCAGCCCTGGTTTTGTTTTTCTGGTATGCCAGCACTCCAGCACCTTACAAGGTAGACCCTGTGGTTTTTTCGGCACTCCAGCCAAAAAAGTTGCCTACCCCTGTCACAAGCTTATCCCCCAATAGATCCCACAATTTTATATGCAAATCATTATGTTAAAATCATATCCATAAATAATTACACAGAGATGATAAAGGAATCAGATTACTGATATTTGCAAGAAACAAAATGCCACGATAGTAACTTTATCTGATGTGAAGTAGTACATCTCCACTGAAATCAATACCAACTGAGAATTATGCCCAATGCATTTAGTAAAAAGTACCATACGATTATTTAGTTGTAAGAATGATATCCCTCCAGCCATAACACCAGAAGGCGACATCTAAACCAAAGTGAGATGCTAAAGAAAGTTGGGCTGATGACTCAAGAACTGACTCCTCCCTTTCCAACTGAACACTGAAAGGTAGTTAGCCATGTAGTCTGAAGTCAGGCAGAGACATCTGACAAAGCATCTGACAGAATAGGCTGTCACCTATGAAAGCTTAGGTCTCTCTGAATAAGAGTCTTCAAGGTGCCATCCTGCCCTATCTTCTGCCTAACTTGTTACTGAACTAGTGCCCTAGCATGAAGTTCAGAACACTGAAGTCCTTGACTTCAGGAAAGCCGACTCTGACAAGCTCAGGAGGCTTGTCAGTGAGGCCCTAAGGGACCGTGACCACAGGGAGAGGGGAGTTCAAGAGGAGTGGTTGCTCCTCAAGGGAGCGATCCTCAATGCACAAACTAAGTCTATTCCATCTCGGAGGAAAGGCAGCAAGAGGGCACAGCAGCCCCCCTGGCTCTCCAGGGACCTAGTAGATCTCCTGAGGCTAAAAAGAAAGGCCTACAAAGGGTGGAGGATGGGAGTCACCTCCATGGAGGATTATTCTGCACTGGTCCGGTCCTGTAGGGAGCAGACCAGGAAAGCCAAGGCTGCAACTGAACTCCAGCTAGCTTTGAGCATCAAGGACAATAAAAAGTCCTTTTTCAGATATGTGGGGAGCCGGAGGAAAAGCAGGGGCAACATTGGACCCCTGATGAACCAGATGGGGCAACTGACAACTGA